CAACTTCTCAGTTTCACACAGGAATAGGAGCTCTCTAGAGGGAGTAGAAAGACCCAAAGACTTGCATTGTGAAGAGGGGCAGTACACCACAATCCATGCCAGAAAATCCTGTGTATTTAGTCAGCATGTAAGTATCAATTATGTCATATAAGAAAAGACCTGGAGAATTATTTAAAAACTTTAAGAAGGGGTGGGGTGGGGGTCACTGTATTTGCAAATTCTAAGAAAGAATATGGAGTTATCCTACTGGTTGAACTTAGCTCTCTAGTAGAGGTGTATGAATCACAAGAGTGGCTGGAAAAAACACAAATCCTTTTGCAGATAGAAGAGTTAACGAATGCATATTTCAATTGTGTTTAGCAGTTTCCCTGGAGTTCAGCTGTAAAAGGAAAATAAGCACATACTACTAAAAATCAATGGGATCAGCACAAACAGGAAAAAAAAAGTGAACTTACTGTTTGAAACCTGTACAATTTAGGGTGAAAAACAGCATGGAAGAAATCGATCACACAAGTCGTGATATGTCTATTTGGCTCATCACAGAAGAGTAAATCGAATGCGATTTTACAAGCTTTTCTGGCCTGTAATCTCTCAGAAGACTTCAAATGATGTAAGCAGTAAGGTTTTAATATAGCAAGTGTCATTTAAACAAGTGGAATAATCAGATTTGATTTGTGTTGCACAATGGTACATTTTGATGGCTTATTTCTGTCCCTTCCAGTAACACCTATAAAATGAGAACCATCACTGGGATAGTGAGTTATGTGGGGAGGTCATCAGGAGACCCGACAAGCCACCACTTTAATACAAGAGGGGGCAGCTCGCGGTTAGGCTCACATTAATCTAAAATGGATTACAGACTTCATCGTTGTATTGCTCTTGTAATGGACTGTGCGTGAAATGTGTCTTGACTTTATACTGACGCTGCAAAGCCTTGCATCTTCCCTGGAACTGCTTAGCCATGCCAACCATTCTGGAGAGGCACCAACGGACTAGATTAAAGGAAAACCTCAAAGTTATTACTTCTACTGCCTCACAAATGGTACAGAAGAAAAAGATGTCACATTACAGGATATTATCCGGTTTTCTACCTAATATTGAATTTTTACTTCTATGCACACTCTTGCAGCTTGAGTAACCCATTGGCCATCTTCATATCCCTCAGACTGCAGTGGCATGATCACCCTACCTCTGACTCCCACAAAGTAGATCTCCAGATGGGTCAGAGAAGTGTTAGGTTTGCTTCATTTTCTATAATGTAGGTAAATATTCAGCAGGGAAGGTAACTTATAAATGCTAAGAGCATGTACTGCACTGTGGAGCCTAGTGCAGAGAGACAATGCAACTTGCTGACCAAAGTAACACATGTATGATTTAAATCATCACTGTCACCCAATGGCCAAAAGAAAGAACACATTGGAGAAGCTGAAGAAATTGCAACAACAGAGCACAGACTCATCAGTGTTGGAGCCAGGCAAACTGAGGGGTAAGTGTCCCTTGACAAAGTATGCCTTACATAACTTGCAAACTATCAGATTTTTTTTCTGCAGCTCTCATCAGCTTATTTCCTTTAAAAAGTATTGAGAGAAGACTTGGGGAGCAGTGGGTGGGTGGCATGCCGAGGGAAGCCTATCTGGCCACATAAGTGTTTTATATATGGCCAGTTTATGGAGCATCATGTGCAGGCGGAAAGAGGTGTCTTACTTTTAGTTTTAAGCAAAGCGGAACTAAAAACTCTCAAACGCCATATTATGGCTGTAGAAAGAGGAATGGGCCCCCACCACTGCACACCTCACCCGGCTTGAGTGGTTAGCAGGTAAAAGCAGCCTCAGCTCTATTCAACCAAGCCATTTCCCCAACATGTTTCGCCCCACCCCCGGGGTTTAATTTCGGAGATCCTTCATGATTAAGTCTCAGGGGGCTGGGTGAAACATGTTGGGGACATGGCTTGAACAGAGCTAAGGCTGCTTTTACCTGCTAACCACTCCTGCCGGGTGAGGTGTGCAGCGATCGGGGTATCTCTTCCGATTTCGAAAGTGTGCTCTGGGTTCGAGTGGGGACCACTAAGCATTTATTGTGGGACGTGTCATAGCTATTAAAGTCAGCCTAAAATTATGTAGTCTAAAAAATTTTCCCTCCCAACACCTATGCTGACTAACCTGTGCAAGACAAAAAAAAAAAAAAAAAAAAAAATGTATATACTTACCCATTTTCAGCCCCCTCCAGTCCAGTCACATGATCCCGTGCCAGCCAGCGATGACAGGTAAAGCCTGGAGCTGTGACATCACATATAAACTCCTGTGTCCCAGCCATTGTTAGCACACTCTCCTGCAGCCACTGCTTGCCGACACAGGGGAAGCAGACTGGGGAAAGCTGAAATTAAGTATATACATCTTGTTTACCCAGGTTAGTCAGCATACGTGTGCATAAGTGTTAGGAGGGGATATTTGAGACTAGTTTAGGATGGATTTCTGCTTTAAAGTATTTTTTTAACCACTTGCCCTCTGGAAGATTTACCCCCCTTCATGGCCAGGCAATTTGTTTGCTATATGGCGCTGCATTATGACAATCGCGCAGTCATACACCACTGTACACAAAGGAAATTTATATTATATTTTCACACAAATCGAGCTCTTTTGGTAGTATTTGATCAGCACTGGGTTTTTTTATTTTTGCACTATAAAACGAAAAAAAAAAAAAAGAAAGACAGAAATTTTGAAAACAAATACACATTTCTTTTTGCTAAAAAAATATCCCATTGAGAAAAAAAAAATCTTCATAAATTTAGGCCAAAATGTATTCGGCTATAGGTCTTTTGTAAAATGTCTATGTATAAATACGTGATTTGCCACAGCGTGGCCATCCTGTAGCAGTGAAGCTGCTATAGGGCGGTTGTCACATGGTTAATGTGACTAGATGTTGGCATACAGTGAATTAAAGTTGGTACACAGCATTAGGACACCAGAAGGCAGTTACAAAAAATGTACTGATTATCCATCCATGAATACATACATACATCAAATCCCCATAAAAGTTTTTTTTGTTTCTGCTGTTACTAAAGCAAGTAAAGAGTTCCTAGAAAAAAAGATTTGCCAACATGCCAATTAACCTTAAAATCACTATATAATTAACATTTCTAGTGCTGCACGACACCAGTACTTATGATACAAGACAAAATCTATGCTATGGCCAGACAGGACTAGGTGACATTAAAGGGAAAAATACAAATACACAGGGAATCTACCATCGGTGATTCGAGAAGCTTAATACATAAAATATGTTTTTAACTGCAAGCTATAAATACTTCAGAAACACTAAAAGATAGTGGTGATTTCTGATTATTGCAATAATGAAAGGCCAGGCATGTTCAAAGCACAATGTGCAACCAGATGTGAAGATACTTGCATGTAATGGATGCTGCCACAAACACTCCTAAAGGATAACTCCAGGCCAATAAGACGGCCGACTAGGGGAAGAGGAGAAGTCTTGCCTCTACATCCTAATACCATCTATTCAAACCCTGCACACCAAGACCTTCCTTCAGAAGCTTTTCTAGTATCTGCTGTCCCAGTTTTCTAACACATAAGAAACAGTGCCGACAGTAAGTACCACATGGTGTGCAGACCTTCATGCAATTGAACCACAAAAAACACATTAAGTGTTGGCAATTCCTTTTAGTTGCAAATAATTCCACCAAACCCAGAGAATGTTCTTTTTTGGAGCACCCATCTTCTAAAGGTTGTAATTGTTTATCCCCCCCTACAGATTCTTCCCAAAATGCCTTTCACCATCTTACAAGGAGACTGAATGGAGCCATATATAAAAGTCTCTACAGCCACACTTCTGTAGAAACTTTCAGGTACTCGTGATCTCTGGGCACTGGGTATTATGTTATGCACTGAGGTGGAAAAGTCTGTCAAGCAGAATGACTTGAGGCAGAAGTCTAGATTTGCAAGGAGCATGTTCCCAAGTTAAAGAGGTCCCTGCGTAGAAGATAGCATTTTTACTTACATGTAATGGTAGAAGTGCAGGAACCTCCAGAGGACGGCAACAGCAGAATAAAACTTTAAAAATGCAGACATCACCTGATACTCTTGGTTCAACAATCCAACCCATTCTATAGCTGCCCACAGACATAAAATGACAGTCACACAATCCAGCCATTATCAGGTGACCATCTCATATCTACAGGGTGAGGCAGGGCCGTCCCCAGTAGCCTGCTCTCTGGGGAAATAGGCTGATTAGACAAACTGAATGTTCATGCATCCTTTGTAATGGTGTAGCCTGCCTGCCCAATTTACATATAAAGAACTATGGGCACCCTAACGTCAAGTAATTTATCCTCAAAAGCATTCTTTTGGTACTTTCAGAACGTAGAACTGCTTTTGCTTAAAAATGGCAAAGAATACAAGTTATATATTGTGTAAGAAATTTAAATGACTTTTAGCAGATGGATAAACAATGACCACCTAAGTAAGCAAATTACTAACTGTATAAGAGAGAGGTGGTAAGAACTTTGCCCATCTTCTTATATTAGCATGACCCACCACAATCTTCCCTCCCAATAGCACTAATATTAAAAACTATGTTCCCTTCTTTAAACAAAGTTAGAACAAGTCGCTCCTGCAAACATTTCTTTTACAACTTGCCGAGATTGTGGGATACAAGTCACCTACCACTCACCAAATTCAATCTTTAGATACAATCACTAAAAGTGATGCTCAGCCATGTTGCTTATAACCATCATCCTTCAAGTGAAACATTAGTGAAAATAAAAGCTAGAAGATAGCAGGAAACGCATTCCTTATATTCTAGATTTCTTTTTAAGCGTACACTGCCTGTGGGGAATATTGGATGACCATTCTTGACATCCTACAGATGAGTACCTGGCTGGTGTAACTTCTGCAGGCAAGCCTTGGGGACAACTCCTCTCTAAGTAGCCCCCAAAACGTACCACTTGGAAGAAAGCAATTTTACACCAGAAGTCAGCATAGACATACCTGATACTTATACATTGGTGGATACGGCAGAATGTCTCAAATATAAAAAGTCTGGCGTTTTCAATAAAATCTTCTAGGCAGGCCACAAGAAAGAAATCATTCACCAGCACCTAAGGGAAAGATAGGTTTGGAAGTTAAAAATTATACAAGTTAAAAAGAATCTCTATTAAAACTATAATTACACTCTGCACTTCTTAGAGTAGATGCTTAAAAAATATATATGACATATTTGAGAAGAAAATTACTCTGGAACCCCAATAGTAATTACCCCAATACTGTGTTTGGGAAGTGTTTAAAATATAAAACCTTCCATAGAACTGTACAGAAATAGGGCACATAGGTCCTCAAAAGGATCGTGTGTGAGGCTGAGACTCAAAGTATCATCCAACACAAAAATTAGACTACCTCTCCTGTCATCGAAAGGACTCAAATTCTTTCTTGGTTATGAAGACACAGCAGCACCTAGATGATGTCCAATGGAGTCCTAAAAAGCAGACCTACCTGAGGTGGAATCCAACAACGCGGGATGAACCATCTGTTCTGGAATACCAGAAAGCAGTCAACTGGCAGATCCACTGTGTATATAGACCACTGTTCAACAAATTCTATCTCAAAGGGGAACAGTTCCAACACACAGACCTGTGAAGCCCAGGATACTACAGAGGGCTTCCAGTCAGCATAGATGAGTACTTTGAACAGCGGATATAATGGAAAGGTCTTTACAGCCTTACGAGCTCCGAAAGACCCAAGGCTGAAGACAGCAGGCTGATGCTCCAAATGTACGGCAGTGCGCACAGCATCAAATAAGGGTCAAAACATCCTCTTAATTTTGAGGTGAGACTAGGAGACTGCACAGCCTTAAAAACATCAGAGATAGACTGTGGGGACAGTTGGATAGAGATGGTTTTACGTCCTCAGGGAAAGTTAGGCGAGTGTGAGCTGGGGTCACCCATAGCAGTGGGACTGTCCCTTGTGTGTCTAGATACAGACACATTGGGGTTGATTTACTAAAAACTGGAGTGTGCAAAATCTAGTGCAGCTGTGCATGGTAGCCAATCAGCTTCTAACTTCAGCTTGTTCAAGCTTTGACAAAAAAAAAACCCTGGAAGCTGATTGGTTCCTAAGCGAAGCTGCACCCGATGTTGCATTCTCCAGTTTTAGTACCTTAAACCCACCGTGACCACATGGCAGTGATGCAACTAGACTCAAGGTATGAGACAAGGCACTCATAAACCCAGGCAGTCAGTGACTAATGGAGTTTGGGTGACCAGAGAAGACTAGTGTCACTGCAGGTGGGCATTAGGAACTGAGGGGAGACTGGACTTCCACATGGTTCTTCTCATAACAGCAGCAGTGTGAAAATGCTTCTTCTACTTTCAATGGTGGGAAAGAGCATGCGTTCCACGCTCCAACCAGTGGATTGTGTCTGCACTCAGTCCCTCAGCATTAAGCCTGTGTGAGGGCACAGGCAGTAGTGGTAAATTTGAAAAGAGTGCAAACCATGCTCCCAGTGCTCAGCTCAATCAGCCTACTCAAAGTGATTCTTCACAACAGACAGGGAACGTACTGACGGCAAAGCCACAGCTCTGGATTTGATCAGGAACATGCTTTTACCAACTTTCACCAATCCTCAATTGTCTGGGAAGCAACACAAGCAGAAGGCAGAAATGCCTGAAGGTCACATTCCAGGCTAGCCCTGCAAATTTCTGTGCAGCGGAATCATGGTAGGGTACTCCATAGTCAGGCTGCGCAAAGGCAGATCTGTATAGTTGCCTGGCTCAAGCAGCAATGTAAAGATACTCCATTGAAACCAGCAGAAGAAATCCAGAAATAAAATGGCTGGCAAAACTTGGACATCTTTTCTTCATCTCTGCTAAGAAAAGTCTATCTTCCTAGGATGATTAGAAAAAATGCCAGGGTAGAGGAGGGGGTTATCCTGGGCAGGCCTACAGTATTTTTTGTTTTGCCAGTGACTAATCCTCCTGCAGGCAACACTATAAGCCGACAATACCATAATGAGAAAACATTTTTGTTTGATTTTTGTGGTTGGATAACAAACCCCTTCACTAATGCTTATGTGACCAAAAGCCGGTCTTCAAGCTTGCACCCCACTGATCAACTGTTTACCAAAAGGAGCACTTCAGTCTTCGATGCGCAACTTATAAACAATATCCTTTTAACACATGGCAAAGAGTTGACCATCATAGGTCTGACCAGAGAAGGTATGATTTCATTAGTGTGGATGACAGGAGCAAGATGAAGGATGGGGTAGGAGCGATTCCTAAAACTCACAGCTAAGCCTTATCCAAACATTTTAATAGAAAAAGGTAGGTCTGAGAAACAACCACATTTGCAAAATAAAGTACATCAGAACATTTAATATATTTATTAAACACATTTCAAGATCAGGTACATTTTAAATCCCACATTCTCGTCAAGCCAAATTTCCACAGAACACTAGTAAAGTTAGAGGTTTAATAAGCAGGCTAGTTGTAAAAAAAAAATAAAAAAAATCAGCCAATTCACTACAGAAACTAATACACAACATATTTGCCACTTCTAAGTAGTGTTGAAGATGCAGACTATTCATATTCAAATGCAAACTACATTCAGATGTGACCTATGTGTATTTGATTGTGAAACTGTCTCTGCTGTTGCTCTGTACATCTTTGGGGATGGTGGAAGTTGCAGCGCAATTGCTCAAAAAAAAAAAAAAAAAATTTGCACAAAAAAAAAAAAAAAGAAAAAAAAAAATTGATCTTCAAGCAGATTAAAGGTTAATGTGCTTGATAGACATATCTTATATACAGCATGGTCACGAGCAAGTGACTGTTTGTGATCCTCCATATTCTACCCATATGACTCAACACGCCATTAGTAAGTTTGTTATAGTGCCCTCCACTTCAATAACTTGTGCTTAATTACTACCAAGAATGCATAACTGCCCCCCTGCGTGCCTCTGATTTATACTGTAATTTTACTGTGTGAAAAGAACTGCAACAAACGTTCAGCTACTTCCTTCCCCGACTGGTCACCATTATTAACAACCCTGCTAATTAAAGTCATATGAAGCAAGGTAGTTATCCTATCACATCAAAGCAGGGACAGATTGCTACTCAGCACACCTATCTTGTAGACAGACACTCCCACGTGAGTAAAGCTAGACAAGATAACCGATTGCTGAGCTTTGAACTGATCAGACAAACATACATTTCCAATTTGAGATCATACACTGCTACTGTGTGAACACGTAAATTATTCCTAAACTGCTTTATAAGGGTGACTTGCTATAAATGGACACAAATGAGCCTCGTCAGAGATGCACAAAAAAAAAAAAAAAAAAAAAAAAAAACCATTTGACATTTGCAAGTTTTAATCACACCGGAGTCATTTACTGGTACACACCTGACTTTCAGAAAGCATCTTACACTGCTTACAATGACTGGTAACAGATGACAATGTACATTCCGGAACTATTTTTAGCCTCGTCTTTTTTTTTTTTTTTTTTTTTACCAAAGTCAGTTTTTAGCACCAAAAAGAAGGAATTTTATCATAATGGAGCAAAAAATCTCCACATCAAACACCATCACATTTAAGTATTCAAAGAGAGTATAAATGGTAAGCTTTAAAATGAACATGTGCCTTGCCTATGCAGAGCAAAGAAAAGGGATCATTTTTAAAACTACCTCCCAAGGAGCACATACGGTTCTTTCACTTCCCTATCACTCTGTTCAGTTGCTGAGAGTAGAATCCACCACCCGATGCACTTAGAGAAGTTCACCTTCAGTAACATGTTACACCCATATTTAGGGTACAATCTAACTAAATGAGCAGCCCACACACCCCTCCAGGCCCCCGCTGTGACATTGGGCAGGGGATCTTCTGTTCTGTGAATGGGAGAAATACAAGTACTAGCACCCATTGTGGCTGACGGCTTGTAGCTCGCAATGAATTACCAGGGCACTGATGAGCGCTCATTGATCTTGATAGTTCATTGATCTTTCCTGTCATTCAGTAGCTGCCTGCTTGTACGAGGTACAGGCAGACAGCTACACTGGCACTCTGCAGGAACCTGAGATTGCACCCACAATGTGTTGATCATGGAGGCAAAGCTTTGCAGGCTAGATAGATACTAAGATGTGCAATTATTATTTTTAAAAAGGTGAACTTATCCAATAAAATAGAACTTTACCTTAAAGGGGAACCTACGCTTTATGCCGCCCTCTTCTTCCTTTGGCATTTTTTTGGGGAAGCAGGTACCTAGTTTGGCAGGTACCCACTCCCACTTCTGGTCAGATTCCCTAGATGATTCCACCAGACGTTCAGCTCCCTCTCTGTCATTCTAAGACATGTCTTCAAGTCCCAGCAGGCTGCGGGACCATTCAAATAGCCCAGTATGGCTTGCACATGCACAGTAGGAAGCCAGCTGTGAAGCCACAAGGGAGTCACAACTGGCTTCCCACACTAAGGTTGGATTCACACTTCAGCAATTTGTAGCTTGAAGCTCCAAAAATGCGCAAACTTAAAAAAAATCAATTGTTCTCTATGGTGCCTGCTTGTGCGATCAGGTGTGAACAGGCACCATAGAGAACTGATTGTCTTTTTAAGTTTGAGCGCTTTTGGAGCTTGGAGCTTCAAGCTAAAAATCTCTCAAATGTGAATCCAGCCTAAACATGCCGACACCAGGAGTTTGTAGAACCAGCCCGGTGAAGACAGCGCTGAATCCCTCAGCAGGCAATTTTTTATTTTTTTTTAAAATAAGGCATCATCTACACTGTATGTAACTGTTGACTTTTAATGTTTTTCAGCGTGATTAACTGCTTTAAAGTGGAACTTCACACTCTAAATCAACATTGACTATTTTAAATCCTTATGCTGCTAAGATTAGTCTACAGATAGGGAAGTATATTAAATTTACTTGTTTTAAACTCTTTTTACATTTCTTTAGTTACTTCCTAGTTTCCATGCCTAGGCAAATAATTTCATACACCCCAGGAGTCTTCAGGAGGGGTGTTTCTCACCTAAGGACACCCTCATGCCTGCATGCCTAAACTAAGGGCAGATGGATTCCAGATAGTAACTGCTACATTAATCATCTGCCATTACTTAAGATGGCCATGGCCAGTAACCCTTTTCTGAACGATTTAAATCATTCAGAAAAATTATTTCTGAAAAAGTAAAAAAAAAAAATCGGCAAAATAAAGCATGGATGGATGGGGGAATTTGCTTTGAATATAAAAAATAAAAAATCACTTTTGGTTTGAGGTGCTTAGATACAGTGTAGTTCTGCTTGAAGTTGTACCTCACACAGTATATGGACTCTCCTCATGTGACTGGGTGAGTCACATGCTCCAGCAGTCACAATGGGTGAGTCACATGCTCCTTCATACATAGAAGTACTGGGTATTATCACTACCAGAAGCTGAATGGAGCAGACGGGGATAAAAAATAAAAAGGAATGTGCTGTTAGGGAGAGGGTGATTAAAGCAGGTTTTTTGCTCTGCCTCCTACGGGCAAATCATAGGCTTGCTATAAAGGAGCACTAGCGTAGTATGACAACTCTGTCTACATTGTCCTCCACATACATCTGGACCTTGCCTCCTTAAAGCTACTTCCCCGTTATCAGATATTTTATGTGTTTTTGATCTAAAGAACAGGAATTGCAAAGTCCAGTATAGGACAAGATTGGTGGATCAGAGCCACAGGGTTCATTCACTGCCAAAACGGACTCATGAAGCAAGCCTTCAAAAGCACAACACCTCTGACAAAATAGAGAGACTCTTGAAATGGGTCACTACCAGGGGGTGCCCTGTTTTTCCAACAATACAAAATGTACAGAAAAATCTTAAAAGTTATGCTTTTGGTGTTTTTGACACATCTATCGATCAACAAGCTGCATCTTGAATCATCAGCTTCCAAAAACTGATCTTCATTATCTCTTTAATATTATGCTTTTGTGAAAGGACAGGCTTTTCTATGGCACTGAGAAACCAAAATATGTCACCAAGGAAAATCTGAAAGATGAAATGCACTTACCGACTCGCACTCTCTTAACTTCTTCTGCGCCCCATCAAAGTCAAAATTCACATATAAACACTCAACAAATTCAGTTATTGGATCCTTGTAGGTGTAGGATTCCTAAAAGGTTAAATAAAACAGTATTATAGGAAGCAAGAATATGTGTTCCCTTCATTCCTCAACAGGTATTCCCCATGTAACAGCAATAAATACCCAATCCCTTCAATCTCCAACCACCTCCTCCTGCAGTTTTGCTATGTTCTCCATTGCAAAGTAACAAAGCCTCAGTGACCACAACACGGGTGTCAAGTTGACAGAATGCTCTTGCTGCTAGAATCCCCCTGGATATATAAGTGGGTACAACTGTGAGCTCTGTGGGTGTAAGCTAGTTATATACTAGAGGAAAGCCAACCCATCTGCTGAATACATTCCACACAAACGTAATGATGGCACAAAAACAGAGTTTGTTGCATAAATTCTTTACTGCACTTTAACATCCAAAATACTTAAACTGGTTATAAAGGCAAAAGTTTAACTTTAATTCACTCTCTGCATTAAGGAAAAAAAAAACGAAACAAAAAACACTTTCAAAAGCTGTTCCCCCAGCCCCGTTAAACAATTACCTGAACCTGATCACGATCCAATGTTGTGCTTGCCTGCAGCAGCCCCCCCCTCCCCTTTCTCAAAGGAGAAATAGCGGCAGCGGGAGCCATCTGGACAGATTAAAGAAAAAACTTGCGCACCTGTCTATGGTCTATGGTAACCATTCAGATTCTGACTTCAGCTTGTTCATTTAAGCTTTGACAATTAAACCTGGAAGACGACTGGTTTCTAGGCAGAGCTGCACCAGATTGTGCACTCTCCAGATTTAGTAAATAACCCCCATAGGCTCCTGCTGCTGTCAGTCAAATCATGTGAATTGAGAGCAGAGAGGCGGGGCCAAGCTTCGCAGTGTGTATCTATGGATGCACACAGCCTGGCTAAGGATAGAATCTGCACAAGTGCCCCAAAGCAAGCAGATTGCTATGGAGGCACTCAGAGAACAGGAAAAACTAAGATCAGTGGCAGGGGGACCCCCAAAGAGGCGGTTTGGGCTGTTCTGTGCAAATCCACTGCATAGAGCAGAAAATGTATCAGATTTATTATTTTCAAAAAAAAAAAAAAAAAAAAGGAGAAGCTTACAACCACTTAAATCCTGTTTTTGCCTAATTAATGCATACTCGGATTACGAGAAGTGCTAGTTGATGAGAAACTCACCAGAAATGCTAAGCATTCTGAATATACCACCTTGAAGTGCAATAAAGAAAAATTTAAGAAATGTCGGTTTTAAGCCATCATCTATTATGTGTGGACCAGACAAGATGACAATTGCACAAGCTGGATATGCACTTGCAGAATGGACCAATCCAGGAGAGGTGGCTGGCTGTTTTCCCATCTGCTGAGCAGCTGGATGGTATAGATTTGGCCTTACACGGCTACACCAGTCACACAGGCAGACTGTACAGTTCACCAGAGAAGTATATGTGCTATGAAAACAATGTTGCTGTGACTATACTAAGGTCCCGTTCTGGACCATTCCATGTAAGTGCTGTGAAAACATGATATGTTGAGTTTTTTCTCTTTCTGGATCATCAAAAGCACAATTTACACACTACCATATGTTCAGTCCTTTTACAAGAATTTGTAAACTATAACCAACAAGGATATAAAGCCCATCACTGTAGAATATAAAAATCACATATGAAGAAATAATTGAAATGTATGAAAACTGAATACCGTATCACCAAATTTCGCTATTCAAGTTTAAAGATTCTTTCCAGTAACACCTATACTTTCAGGTTTAGGTAGAGCCATACGTACATCTAAATGGGTCTGTAAAAGCAGAAACCCAGCTCCCACAGGCCAGCCTTCCATGGGGCCTTTATCTGCCCTAGTTTGAAAAAGTATATAGGTAAATAAAGGGGAGCACTTCTCTTTCAACAGAGAAAAAAAAGTCAGTCTGGATTATGGAAACACTAATAACCCAATTACAATGTTCTGTACAAGTCTGCACACAGGTGGAAGCTCACTTACTTGCTGAATTACTTTAACCAAATCTTTCAGAACTTGACGTCTCTTTCTCACATCTTTGTTGGTGATGACGGCTGTGGTCAGGTACCGAAGGATATGTGGGCACATAGTCTGAATGGCATTTAGGTACCTAAAAAAAATACAATATAACTCTAGGATCAATTTGAAATAGATTTAACTGAACAGGGAGGGGAAAAAAAAGAAACTGACATAAATCCCCATTTTTCTTTAATATTTTTGGGTGTCAAACAAATTCAGTAATGCCTGTTCATATAGCGCCACCAGTCTATGTCTACATGAGGCAACACGGACAACCTTACTGCAGTTACTCCGCTGTCTGATAGGTGTGGATCATGGATTGAGCTGTATTGCTTAAAGTTCACCTTTCAACAAAAAATAACAAATGCACATTTTTTTCATAGCATGTTACACCCTGAATAAACTCACCATTAGCAACATGTTACACCCGTGTTTAGGGTTATTAATCGCTAGTCCTTTCACCCCAAGTCACCGCCGTGATAAGGTGAGGCTCTATTCCCCACAGCTGCTGTCATATTTAAAAACAGTGATCTATAAATGAATAAACTACAAGTCCCGTCTTCTACTGCAGCAGATGGACTTGTAGTTCGCAATGGTCTATGAGAGCACTGATCAGCACCCTTGTAATCCACTAACACTTCCTGCAGCTCAGCAACGATCTGCCTTTACAGAGGTACAGGCAGAGAGCTGTGTGAAGTGTCTGCAGGAGCCTGACATTGCACCCATGATCTACTAATTATAGGTTCAAAGCTCTGCAGGCTCCTGAGAAAAAATAAAATACACATGCACATTATTTACATCAGGCTTGTCCAACCTGCAGCCCAACACAAAATCTTAAAATTTGATGAAATGATTTTTTTTTAAATTTTTTGGCAAAAATGGGTTTACACTTTGCGAACACATGTGGCTGAATTAAAATTGGACAACGCCTTTACTGGACTTTTAGAAGTTTTATCTTCCCAAAGAAAAAAATCCCACCTATTACAATCACGCCTTATTTTTTAATTTTCTGGCAGCACCTATATTTGTGAGCAACTATTTTCATGGATAAAGCACAGGAAGGGCAAAACTAGGAAGCAAAATACCCGATGAGCACCCTGAGAATTAATTGAGAATTGCTACTATATCCTCTGAACCGTTACAGTGTCAAATATCACACTAGTTTATGTTGCTTTTCCAATAAAAAAAAATTACAAAAAAATGAATTTTTACTCAGATTGGTACATTATCTATATCAGTGATCATTAAATTGACAGACTTTTTCTGCTCATCAGCTATCTTTATTGTTGGTGTATTTTATGTGCGGGCCAAGACAATTCCTCTTCTTCCAAAGTTTCCCAGGAAAGTCAAAAGGTTGGACACCCCTGATTTACACAAAGGTGAGCTCAGCCTTTAACTGTAGTGTAGTCTGCAAGGAAGCCAAGGACCTGGATATGATGTGTGCCTGAGGATAACCTGAATCACAAGAATAACTGAACAGAGTAGACAAATCCTTTGGCAAGCAAGACAGTTCTCATACATCTATTTCAAGCGGATTGCCTGGAGGTAAGCTTTAATGATTCTTCTATAAGGCATTTAAATTGCTCTTGCTGAATTTAGAAGTATCTCATTTAGAAAACCTGACTATGACAATATCATGCAGAACACCAAGTACAACATTTATCCTAGAAATAAAAGCCAAATGTGACCCTGATGCGTTTCAGTAGCATGTGGACATCTGTACGAGCGTGTTTTCTTTTCTCGCTCTAGCAGACAAAACGCTGATGGCAAACAGATGTTCCGTGAACTGGATTGCTTATAGAGAAGGCCCCGAACTTTGATGTGCAGCTGTAATTCCTGGGCAGCACGCGCTCCATGCAAGTATTGAGCCTAGTCAGGTAGAAAAATGCCATAAACTGGAGTAGCCATGTTACACTAAAATGGAAACAAGGAATCTCGACCACCAGAGCCAGCCACTCCCATCTCCTGTACAGCCCAGTGTTGCAATGAGAGCTGGATAGGCAGAGCAGAGAGCCGATCACCACTCTCTGCTCACTGAAGACCAGGAACTGAGCGATCAGTGGCCTTTCATTGCTCAGGTCTTTAAGGCGGGGGACTGATGCTGCATCTACTTATGTATGAATTTTAGAAAACCTGCACTTCTGTATTAAAGATGAAGTTTAAGGTCACAAAAAAAAACAAAACACATTCCCTGAAACTGTCTTCCCTTCCTGAACAAAAAACAAATATACAAGAAACACACACCAAAAGGAGAAAAAAAATAAAAAAAGAAGGGCAGACTTGATGGATTACTTGGTCTTTTTCCTGCCTTCATTTTTCTATGTTTTCTATCTAGGTTCCTCAAGTGCTTTGGTCTCATTTCAGTGTAATTATGGCCCCATAGAATATAAAAACATTATCAAAGTAGTGCTACCTAATCGCACTGAAAGCTGGATCAAAATAATACTGCAGCAGTGTAAATCTAGCCTTAAAGTGTTACTAAACCCCGGACCCTGCATTCACTATATCTGGTCTCCCACAGTACACACAACATGGAAATGCAATTATTTTAGTAAATATAAACTGCTAAATACCTTTTCTCATCAGCAGCTAGAGCAGTCTTGCGACTTCTATCAGTGATCAGCAGAGCACTGGTTAAAGCTTGTAGGAGTTCTCTTTCTGCTCTAGGAGAATGCAAAACCCCTGACCTCTGTCTGGACAGTGCTGATTGGCCCTGTGCTGATCACATGCACTCTCCGTAGAGAAAAAACAAAAAACAAAAGCAACCTCTCTAGCAATACACACTAAACTAAGCGTGTGCAGAATGGCTATGGTTCAGCCTGTCTTATCAAGAGATAAGACGTGGACATGTGAACAAGAGGAGGATCAGAGAAGACAGGATCAAACAGCCTTTTTACACAATGCAGAGGACTAACCCCTTAGGTTCCACAGTGATTATAACAAGCATGCTTTACTGCATATACAGACTGATTTTACTGTTGTAGGTGTAGTAACACTTTTAATTCAATAACATATTCAGTTTGTTTTGCTTAGATAGTTGAGTTCCAATTTAAAATTAGGGTGCAGAATGGGAGTTCTTCCCCAGATCAGTTCTAACCCTTCCATGGCTGTAATGAAGCCAGTCCTGCTTTAGGGGCCACCTAGTGCACACTAGATGCATCCTATTTCCACCCTTTGGCATCTGAGCCCCTACTATTCCCCAAGAAACCAGCAAATGTTTGGACCCACCTAAAACTGAGGAATTGGCTTCAAGTGGACTTGTCTATTAAATGTACTGCTACAATGCGTGTTTGGAATAAATGGGAAACCTATTCTGTCCAGTGACAAACAATAGGAAGGAATAAAACAATCCTTTTCCTGTACGAAGAACATGTGCACACTGCAGGACAGTTGCACAAATTAAATCCAATAGCCACGCATGTGGCCAACGAGTCAAACAAGATGTGAGAATGTTACGATGAAAGTACAACTACCCACGTATCGGCCTCTAACGTTCTTTATAATCAGTTGCTGTTAATCAAAGCTCTATCCATGGCCTGCAGGCAGGAGGATACAAGGAACATTTGTTAGCATTTAGAGGACCAGAAAAAGCCTACCGAGTTGTGAAACAGCAGATGCTCTTTATTTCAAGCTTTCAGACAGAGTTTACAATCATTCACCTAGAACGGACAAGACAAGCTCCTAACATTCCTCACTGGGCTTTAGGAAAACTATGGCTCAGCCATTTCAAGCTGTTTTTTTTTTTTTTTTTTTTTAAGCAAAAGTACAAAAAATAACCACACAACCTATTTTCCAGCAGGTTTCTTTATGAGTATGATAGAGGTTATAGGTCTCCTTTCTCTCTTATTGGAAGACAGACTACTATGTTCTTAGCTCAGTAATGGGCAACCTATTTCATTTAAGGGGCCTCAACTGCAGCCCCTGACACTGCCAATGGGCCACAGAACATGAATGCTATGTTACAGAAAGCTGCCAGAGACTGTAGACATGCAACAGACATTGGTCATAGAATACAGGCATTAGAGAGAAGGCCAGACACTGCAGATATGCTGCAGGAGATGGTCAGAGATCATGCATGACCATAGGAGATGTTGGAGACATGCGTCAGGAGACTAGAGATAAATTACATCAAAGTGCTAGAGATTGCTGTAATACAACTCCTTCACAAATCAATTCTTCCACATTTGTGCCCTTTAACCACTTGGCTACCGAACACTTCCTGCCCAGGCCAATTTTCAGCTTTCAGTGTTGTCGCACTTTGAATGACAATTGCACGGTCATGCAACACTGTACCCATATGACATTTTTTGCATTTTGTTTGAGACAGATAGAGCTTTCTTTTGGTGGTATTTAAGCACTTGTGGGTTTTTTATTTTTTGCTAAACAAACCAATAACTGAAAATTTTGAAGAAAAAAAAAAAGTTTTTTTTCTGAGTTTCCGTTATAAAATTTTGTAAATGAGTAATTTTTCTCCTTCACTGATGTGCACTAATGAGGTTGCAGTGTTGGGCACTGATAGGCTGCACTGATGAAGAGGCACTGGTAGGCAGCACTGATGGGCATTGACAGACATCACTGATGGGCACTGAAAGGAAGTACTCATATGGCACTGATAGGAGGAACTGAAAGACAGCACTGACACTGTTAGGCGGCACTGGTTGGCAGCACTCATAGGTGGCACTGATTGGCAGCATTCATAAGCGGCACTGATAGGGCTACACTGATCAATGCCCTGATGATCAGTGTACATGTCCCCTCTGAGGAATGCCAATTACCAGCTCTCCTCACGAGCAGTCAGTGTGACAGCTCATGAGGAGAGGAAAGCCGATAACCGGCATTTCCTTATTTACACGCGATCAGCTGTGATTGGACACAGCTGATCACAACAGAGCTGACGTCATCGGCTCTTTCCGCTGATCAGTGATCCGCTGTGTCCCAGGGACACAGCCCACCACCGATCGCCACGCTGCGCACCCCTGAGGCGCACACGTGCGGTTAGAGTGGGAGGACGTCATATGACTTCCTCCCAGAATGAGAGAACTACTGGCCATCCGTCATTTTCTTATATGGCGGGCAGGAGGCAGTTAAAGGCTCACTCACATTGGCACAGATCTATACAGTGTGTTTGTGCACACAGGAGTAACAGATGTTCCATACAGCTGCAGTCAGCAGGTTGTTAAAAAATTAATAACAGGCTGACAGATGCAGCAGATGTTTGGGTCTTCTACAAGTATTTACGTCCGTACAGTGACTGGTGCATGGCACTGGGCACAGATAGACTGCATCCAGGGCCACATATCTGTCTCTGTATGGACGTAAATGCTCGCATTTGCAGGAGGATCTGAAACAAGAAGTTCCTGACCAAGATTTTTTAATAGGCTGTACAATACACCTGTCACTCGCCGATGCATAAACACACGCTCTATGGGCCATCGTACACTACACAGGAATACCATTATTTTTTCACATTTTACAGAATAAAAATTTAAAAGTAATTCTTCAAAACAGACATTGTTTCAATGAAAATATGCCACAGCAGATGATACAGAGGAGGCTTTTTCTGCTCTTGAACCAGCACCTCTTACAATGGAGAACTGGGGAATGACAATTTATACAGCTGGATGGGCTCTTTAGCTGTCCCAGGTCACAGCTCTGCTGAGAGATTTCTTACAAGGCAAGACTTGTATGATAAAAAAAATACATCTCTTTCAAGCTTTATTCAGTATGTTTTCAGATTAAAAGTCAGAAATAACCAGGATTAGCACATTTGAGACCTGTCTGCATCTTAATTCAATTTGAGCAAAGTTCTTTTCACAATAGAGTTAATGTAATTCAGCTGTAACCGGAGTTAACTGAGCTTTCACCAAAATGTCCAAACCATTAAAGTGATTGTAAACTTTAGGAATGAATATGAACAAAACATATCCCTCTAGTGTGTACTTGTCTCAGTCCAGAGCACTAAGTGTCATTTCTGTCTGCTGCCACCTTCCTCTGCAATCAACATGAGTTACTTCCAACAAGTTTTCATGACACCAAGAGAAAAATGGTGACGGGGACAACTAGAGCTTCCCAGAGTGCAATTTCAGCTCCCCGCCCCTGGCTTTTCAAAGCCGAGAGATCCTGTGTAAATGCGGCACTTTCAACAGATGTAGAGAAGACTACCGATAAACAGGTACAGCTCATGCAGGAGGATAGGTTTCATTTCTGTGTATCACCCGAGGCCAGTCACTTCAGTGAAGTATACAGATGTGTTCAAAATAATAACAGTCAGACATCACTAACCTGATCAATCACTATTTTTGGTAGAAATTATATTTACTAGCAGGTGTAGTAGAGTAATAGAAATCCAACAGACCCAACAGTCATGACATGCATGCTGCTGATTCTGTGTAATTGAATCACTAATTGAAAGGGGCATGTTCAGAATAATAGCAGTGTGGAGTTCTATTAGTGAGGTCATTCATTCTTTGAAAAACAGGTGGCGATTATTGCCCTTATTTAAGGAAGGAAGGCAGCAAATGTTGTACATGCTGGTTACAGTGCATTTCTCTCTGAAATCCTGATGAAAATGGGTCCTTCCAGACATTGTTCAGAAGAACAGCGTACCTTGATTAAAAAGTGGATTGAAGAGGGGAAAACATAAAAAGAAGTGCAGAAAATGATAGGCTGCTCAGCTAAAATGAGCGCAAATGCTTTAAAATGGCAACCAAAACCTGAAAGATCTGGAAGAAAAACCACCATTCGAATGGATAGAAGAATAGCCAAAATGGCAAGGACTCAGCCAACAATCAGCTCCAGGAAGATCAAAGAAGGTCTAAAGTTCCCTGTGAGTACTGTTACAATTAGAAGACGCCTATGTGAAGCCAAGCTATCTGCAAGAAGCCCCCGCAAAGTCCCACTGTTAAAAAAAAAAACATGTGCCGAAGAGGTTACAAATTGCCAAAGAGCACATTGACTGGCCTAAAGAGAAATGGCGCAACATTTTGTGGACTGATGAAAGTAAGATTGTTCTTTTTGGGTCTAGTGGCCAGAGACAGTTTGTCAGATGACCCCCAAACACTGAATTCAAGCCACAGTACACTGTGAAGACAGAAGCATGGTTGTGCAAGCATCATGATATGGGGATGTTTCTCATACTACGGTGTTGGGCCTATTTATCGCATACCAGGGATCATGGATCAGTTTGAATACATCAGAATACTTGAAGAGGTCATGCTGCCTTATGCTGAAGAGGAAATGCCCTTGAAATGGGTGTTCCAACAAGACAACGACCCCAAACACACCAGTAAACGTGCAACATCTTGGTTCCAGACCAACAAGATTGACGTTATGGAGTGGCCAGCCCAATCCCCGGATCTTAATCCAATAGAAAACTTGTGGGGTGACATCAAAAATGCAGTTTCTGAGGCAAAACCAAGAAATAGAGAAGAACTGTGAAATGTAGTCCAATCATCCTGGGCTGGAATACCTGTTCACAGGTGCCAGAAGTTGGTTGACTCCATGCAACACAGATGTACAGCAGTTCTCAGAAACAGTGCTTATACAACAATATTCATTAAGTGATTCAAAGGAAAGCAAAATCTTCAAACATTTTTCAGTTTATATAGTGAATGTTTGAGTTTGTAAAGAAGAATACAAACACTGCTATTTTTTTGAACAGTGTAATCACTTTTCTTAAATTTTTTGGAGGAACAACACAAATTTGATATATTTTCTTCATGTTTTGATTTGGAATAGAATGTGTAGTGTTTCCAATGCATTTGTGTGTATGGAAATAAAAGCTATTAGAAGGATTTTGAGTTTTATTCACTTTTTTCAACACACTGCTATTATTTTGAAAACAACTGTATGTGAGGGTTTAAAAAAAAAAAAAAAGAAAGAAAAAAAAAAAAAAAACAGCCATTTAATAATGGCTGCATACCTAGCTCTTTACACATACTTAGGTATCCAACACTCAGAACCATAGGAGTCCCATAAATAACTGCTTCCAGAAAACTTTGCTTTAATTTGTAATCATGTCAGTGAAGTAGAGTTCCACCCAAAAGTGGAAGCTCCACTTATCTGCCCCCTCCGCTCCTACATTTGACACATTTTGGGGGAGAGGAGGGAAGCGGGTACCTGGCTTTGACAGTTACTTACACCCACTTACATCACAGTTCGCCACTGTGGAACTGAGCCGGAAGCACGGCCCCCAAAGCCCTCTGGGAAACTCAACAAGCCCCAGAGGACTGGGCCCATTCACAAAGTGCAGCATACTTTGCACATGCGCAGTAGGAAACCGGCAGCGAAGCTGCAAGGCTTCAATTTCAGTTTCCCTTAGTCAAGATGGTGGCTCCAGCACTCGACTGAAGAATAAACTGTGTGAGGACACCGCTGGATCCCTGGACAGGTAAGAACCCTTATATTAAAAGTCAGCAGCTGCAGTATTTATAGCTAACTTAATTTTTTCTTTAAATGCAGAAATTACTATGGTCACCTGACCTGCACTGAAGGAACACAAACATAAAAGAATCTTTCAAGGAAGCAAATTGGATATTACAAAGAAAAGTGAAGTCAAAACTGGGCTATACACACACACACACACACACACACACACACACACACACACACACACACCACATTTTGAGCCATGGATGGTCCTGTTGGCAACACTCCAATCAACATCCTTTGAACTGAAAATCATAGGAGCCAGGCAGAAAATGTCAGCCAAACAATTTCTGCAGCCAATCAGCTGTAGGCACTTTTTGGGTGCTGGCTGTCAGAATACAATAGCCAGTAGGGGAGATTCCTCCATCCATACTGTTTAGCTTAGATGGTAAAATACAGAGACCTAAAAAAAAAAAAATCTGAGAGTGCATTGCCAGCCTAAAGCATTCCATGGCATAATCTTTCCAGATTAACTGTCTCCCCTTGTCACGACTTCTGAAAACATCAAGAACTTCGGTTTTAAAGTACCAACAAGAAATTTCTTCAGTCTTAGACCTGAGAGAGTATTTCTTAAAACAAATCTCTGCTAAAACCATTCACAGTTCACACTTACTGAGGCTGGTAAAGGAAAAGGTCAATGATGTTGTGTCTCTCCCCTTGGGATGGTTGAAGAACACAAAAAGCGACCAGTGAATGAGCCAGGTTCTGTGCTGCAGAGACTGAAGTGGAGAGCTGACGGACTGCAAAATAAGAAAACAAAAATGAGCTCTCTGAAGAAAACAAAAATATAAAACAATGACACTAAAACCCACTCTTCCAAATCAACATGTCAAACCAGATGCAATTCCCTTACAATCCCAAAATGCTATGACAGTAACAGTGAAACTCTACCCAAGAAGAGAAAGGTGGCAGTATCTGCAGATGACTGCAAGCCATTACACTTACCAAGCCAGATACCTGCCTCCCGGTGTAGAATCTGAGCCTGTCTAAGCTGTGGTGTCAGAGTTTAGACAGGGGGATGATACCATAGGTCTCCCGCCTGACACTATTTAGGGCCTAGCGACTGGCTGCTCAGGCTCAATCACTCTCACATTGGGAAGATCACATGCAACAGCTCTGACAGTGCAGTGCAGGGAGGCAGCATCAGACCATGGCTTAGTAAGGACAATCGCGTGGGAAGTAGAATGCCCGCAGATACACTGTCACTTTGCCCTCAATAGGGAATGTGGCATTCTCCCCTAAACATGAGCCTCAACTCAAAAACTGAAAATTTGCTATGTTTTATTGTTAGGCAGGGGCGGACTGACCATTTGGAAACTAGGGCACTGCCCGAGGGCCTGGGGTCAGTAGGGGGCCCCATGAGATGCCCCTGGTACCTTTTTCATAGGCTTTTTTGAGTTTGGGCAAGGACACAGGGGCCTCTTGATGCTCTATTGCCCAGGGGCCCCATGAGTTGTCAGTCCGCCCCTGGTGTTAGGTATGCTTAAACAGTACCCTCCCGATAAATACCCTTTGTTCTGAATTCCTCTCGAAATATAGCAGTGCACTTCCTAGTATATGATTTGTCGCTAGGCACTGCTGTGCTACTCCAAATTCGCAGTGAGATTAGGTGATGTCACTACTGTAATGCTCACTTCTTCCTGGAGGCTCTAAACAGAGCCTGCCTTTACCAAGATGGCCACCTCCACACAGGAAAACCATTTTTGTTTAAATCAGTTTAAAGTTAATCGTGAACTATGACCCTAGAATTATTGCTTCCACTCAAATGTTCACAGTGATCCCTCGTGTGTGGTAAAATCACTGTTTACATATGTGTGCCAGACCTACAGGCATGCTTGCATTTGGGCACAAGGATTGCTTTTACATTTTTCTTTTATCCTAAATTTATTTTACACTTTAATTTTTTTTTTTTTGGAACAAGGTGGGGGGGGGGGAACAAAGCTCTTTGTGATAGCTTTGGACATGAGATAGGTACTCATTATGGAGACCTCAGGGGGTCTATTGGATCCTGCTGCTTTCAGCTTCATTTGTCACAGAGGAGATGGGGGGGGGAACTGAAAGCTGTTCCGACTGCTTACTGCGGTCCAGGGCTCTGGGCTCCCCAGAGAGTGGAAAGGGAGTGCCCTGGAACCACCAAGGGCAGCAGCAGAGGGGATCCTTCCCAGCACTGAAAATTTGATGGGGCTTGTGTAATGCCGCCTGGATCACTCTTACATAACAGATGACTGCTGGAAAAAAATCGATACCAGAATCATGGCTGCAGCTATGAGCCTGGTATTAACCACTTGCCGTCAGGACCTTTACATATGTACAGTTCATTAGACGATAGGTGGTTAAAGTAAACTGATATTTGTACAGCTGCAGGTCACATTATCTCATTGCTTGCTTTTTTTTATGCCTAGAACTGCCCCTCAATGGGTCAATTCTTTAAAGCTTTTATTGGGAGAATGAGAAGGCAGAAAAATATGGGCCAGGCTCAACTTTTACAGGCAATGCGAAATTTGCATAAAATGTCTACTGCCCATTTCTCTGAATTTACTGATGGTGGCAAATACCTCTGACAGCTTGACGCCTGGCACTGCGCCCTTCTCACTTACCCATTAGGCACCAACATGTAACTTGCATGTTTGCACAACATAGATCATCTGGTGTCCACAAAGCATTTTACCTCCTCCTAGATATAGCATAAGCAAACTGCATGGATGTGTGTTCACATTTGATGTAAGACAGGGACTGAGATCAAAGATTAAAAAAAAGGTTCAAATTTTGATTCTGTTACTTTCTCCTAATTATCTCTGCTGCTGCACATCCACTAGCCATGTTATCAGACTCCATTCTTGATAACAGAATAAATGCTACATGCAAATCCTACTCCTGCCTAATTTTGATCTGCAATCTAAAAGAGAATTCCTCAGGAATTAATAAAATTAAAAGTGCAGCACAACATAAGCACATATAACCAAATGCACCATATACAGCCAATTGGTGCAAAAATATTATAACCAAAGCCCAAAATATGAACTTCCAATTGAATCTCCATAACACATGCACATCCACTCGTGACTTAGATGTGTTCAATTTTTCCTTACATAATCTGTACACCTCCACCATGTCAGGTGAAAAACCTGCTCACCTCCAATATATCATTGACCCCTGGTTCACATATGAGGGCCGCGTTTTGCACAGGCACGAGAGCCCATTCATTTGAATGGACACCCACGCTTCGTGACACGCAGGGTTGAAGTCCCTGCACTTCTTCTGAAAATGCAGCTTGCAAGGGAACCTCAGTTCCCAGTACAGTTGCGTTATCCAGTGCGGGCGGCGTGCCATTAAAACTAATGGCACCCGCCCGTGGGTCCGCATTTCTCTGTGCGGGGTGCGCGGATTTTCATGCAGATCCGCAGCTGCACCACCCGCACATATGTGAGCCTAGCCTTAGAGCTCATCCCATTCAAAATAAAGCAGCCCTTCTGGTCCCGGAATCCACTTCTTATCCAGGTGATATCCCTCTTCTCTTCCGCTAATGCTCAGAGGTTGATGGATATGTGAACCATGTAATAAAAAGGCCAAAACATAGTGCTCTCCGTTTGAGACTATTTTCCCCACAGTTAAAAATCACACTTACATAATTCTCATGCAAAATCATGAGATGTGTGCTTATGTTGCGCTGCACTTTTAATTTAAGTTTATGTTGGGGTGAGGTAAAATTCACTAACAAGTGTTCAGCTTGCATTTATATAGAAGGGTTGGAAATTTATTTATTTACATATTTTTTCACTGTCATCTGTATTGGCATATATTTGTATACGTAGTTGCGCTGATTACAAATTTGGGGTTTTCAATTCCTCAGGAATTTTTGTATTTCCAAAACCTCTGTAAAGTTGGACACATAAAAACAATCAATGTTTGTGACAGTCAAAAAGGGCTCTTACATTGTTATCTATTGTTTCTTTGAGTCGTGTGAGATCTTCCATAGCGGCATCCCAATTCTGCATCAAAATTTCTGAAGCCAGTTTTCCCCAAAGAGAACTGAGAGCATTTCTGTCTGTTGAAGGAACCTGTTACAAAACAAAGAAGGGATAAAGAGAAAAAAAAAAAAAATCATGAATATAACCAATTTTGTGGTACTGCATGACTGGCACTACGATTCACCAATTCAAATATGATAAATATAACCCTCACAATTGCCATAAAGCTGCAAGTAATCTGACAAAAAATAGCAATAAAAAAGTACTTTACCATAGACTGCAGCTTGCACTTCAGCCTAGGCACCAGTTATGTCTAAATCATTCACTACGCAGCAAAACAGGATCATGAAATCTGGAGTCCGCAGGTTTTCCAAGAGGCTGCAGGAAGGCTGTGTGTGACATCACCAGCGCCTTGACTAAAGGAGTGGAAGCTGTAATCTACAGTAAGATACATTTACTATTTTTTGCTTTTGTGTATTGTTTTGAAGCAGTGAGCTAGCCAATTTTTACATGACGTCAAAGACAAAATGTACAGAGGAGAGAACATAGTTTCGGAGGCCTCCCAGGTCCGGGTTCTGAGCATTATCAAGTAAGGAGTAGCATGTGTTCATGCAAGAATCAGAAAGTTACCATTTGCATATGCTCAAGCCCTCATGGGACATCTGGCTCTACTTTATGCACAGATAAGAACATATGTCGCCAGCACACCATAGATCCGCAGTCAATAGTTCAAGCGCTTATTTAAAGTGATCACATCACAATAAGTACAGGTGCAACGTTTTGAGGCCACGCAGGACCACTTCATCATTAAATGTGACTAGCATCATAATGGATCCAGGGTGTGCTAGCAACATACGTTCTTGTCTATGCAGATACCAGTTAACCTGCTGGCAGATGCTAAGGCCAGATTCACATTTGTACTTTGCAGGAACACATGCAAAAAATCGTGGGCTTTTCCACAATGCAAAAAAAAAAAAAAAAAAAAAAAAAAAAAAAAAAAACACCACTGTCCTTTTGCTGACTTGCAGCAGTGCTATTAATTCTTACTGGCATCTCCATATATCTTGCCAACATCAAAATGCATGCGTTCACCAGGGGTTCTGGTGTGACATTTTTCAAAACAGTCCAGCCATGCACATTTTTAGTGCATTTTTAAGTATAGGGCAACCCATTGAAATGAATAGGTTGCCCCAAAAGCAAAGTGCAGAAACACACATAAGTGAGAACAAGGCCTACATCGCCCTCTCACTGCAGGCCTCATCCAGAAATGTGATGAGAATATTCAGAGTTCCTTTATAAACAGATACATTTTAAATGCGAGTGTTCCATTTTTCCCCCCACTAAGGCCTAGTTCACACTGACATTGAAAGCAGGCATTTGAGGGGTGTTTTTAACACTCCCCAAATGCCTATGCAAATGATACTATGGACAGCATAGTGCTGTTCACATCAAAACGAAGTGTTAGCGCTGCATCACTTCAAAATTAAAGCCTCATGTAAAGTCTGGAGGAGTTTGAAGCCTTTCAACGCCTCCCATTCAAGTCTATGGTGCTGTTCCGCAGACTGGCAGGTGTATCAAGTGCAGTGATGGCATATTAATAACATTAGTTTATTATAGGCGTTTGTGGTGCAGATTTAACGCTTGCAAAACACATCAAAACCATGTATAAGGCATTTGGGAGGAGTTTTTAACACTTGTAAACCGCCAGTCTAATGCCCATACTAACACTAGGAAAGTTAAGAGTTAGAAATGTAGTCAAGTGTGAACAAGCACTAAAAATATCAGTGGTCTATATTAAAAGAGCATTTGTATCATCCAGCTTCCCTTTAAGGCCTCATGTACTCTAGCCAGTTTTGGCCCTTGCAGCGTAAAACCCAGTGTTATTGAGAGCAAGGGAAGCACAGCTGCAGTCAAAGTCAATGACAGGCAGAAATAAGCGGCGGTGGTATGCCAATGGTAACTATTCTGAGCAGTACTGGGGTTTACCGCTGTATGACCCAAACACAGGAATTCTTACATCCGGAGCAAACATCTCTGAACGCATTCAGCCCTAAACACAAGTACTACTTGAAATATTATTATACAGGATTTATATAGCGCCAACAGTTTGCTCAGCACTTTACAATATAACGGGAGACAATACAGCAACAATACAGTTCAATACAAAAAGGATAGGAGGGCCCTGCTCCTTGGAGCTTACAATCTAGGAGGGAGGGGCTGGTGGTACAAAAGTTAATAACTGTGGGGGATGGACTGGTTGGAAGAGTAGAAGAGTCCATTATTAGCTGAGGGCAGGATAGGCTTCCCTGAAGAGATAGGTTTTCAGAGATCGCCTAAAAGTGAGCAGAGTAGGCAATAGTCTGATAAATTGGGGTAGAGAGTTCCAGAGGATGGGGGAAGCTCTGGAAAAGTCCTGGAGACGAGCATGGGAGGAGGAGACAAGGGAGCTAGAGAGCAGGAGGTCTTGCGAGGAGCAGAGAGTACCGTTTGAGCGGATTTAGAGACAAGATCGGAGATGTAATTTGGGGCAGAGTTATAAATGGCTTTATACGTTATTGTTAATGTTTTGAATTTTATCCGTTGGGCAATGGGAAGCCAGTGGAGGGATTGGCAGAGAGGGATGGCAGATACAGAACGGTTAGTAAGGTGGATGAGTCTGGCAGCAGCATTCGTGATAGACTGAAGAGGGCCTGCGATGAGATAGGCCAATGAGGAAGCTACAATAGTATGCAGTTGTGTAAAATTACTGTATATTTCAGCCTGTCATTGATATTGAAAGGCTGCTTGCTGCTCCTGTGCCTCTCCTGCACACAGACATGTTGAGTTTTTATGCTGTATTGCCAATCCACCTGTGTACATGAGCCCTAATACATCTCTGTGTTTCAAGCCTACATAATACCTTGGCCGACATGCATTATCCAGTGGATGTGTAGGCTAGGTCAAATAAGGATCACCAGAGATTTTGTTCCTAATGTGTTGGACTAAATACCTACAGAAAGATCTGATAAAATATTAGTACACTAAGAGCTGACAAAATGGCTCTCTTAGGTCAGTAAATGGCAGGTCTCTTTTTTCGCTCCACTCCATAATAAAAAACCGCTTGCTATATTCCCACCATTTCCTTGTGAAACTGAAGCTTGTATCCCCAAAATCAACAGGAGTGCCCACCACCCACTCTGCCGAATCTTGAGAACAGGTCTAGTTATTTTATCTAGTGCAGTTCATGTCTTCTGAAAGCAGAGGTAAGGCTGGGGCCATAAAGCTGTAATTTATACAACACTGAACTACACTAGGTCATTCAGAGTGTCAAATTCTAATCTCAGAGAAGGCGTACAATGGGCCTTTCATAGCTTCTCTTTCTCCAGCCATCATTTTAAATGAATCTTCACCCAACAAACAAGTCCCACAGCACATTGCTGTAAGAGTCCAACTACTTGACAGACAACGAAACCCCAAGAGAAATCTATTTCTATATGGCAGCTTTTCAATACATGGAAGGGAACCATATAATATTGAAGATATTTGCCTTTTATTTATTTAAAGAGAAAATCTCTCAAAGATACGGGTTGGATTCCAGTTAAACCTAGAGCTAACCTTACCCCCAGCCCCATTCCAAACCTAATCCATGTAACCCTGTAAAGAGAAGATCCCTATACTTACCTATTCTGAATCCACTCCGGTCACAGGCTTGTCAGCAGTGGCTTCTGTGTACAGCAGAGTGGGGCGATATCATCTGCTATTCAGTTCCCAGCCGTTGTTGGCTATCAATACACAAGCTGCCACTGGAGACCGGACAGGCTTCAGGATAGGCCAGTATAGCGATCTTGGATAGATTAGGATTAGAATGGGGCTAGGAGTAGGTTTAGCCTGGAATTCCACTTTGAATGTACACTAATAGGCAAATCCTATTACTACTTTCAGTTAAAGTTTAAACAAAAAAAAAAAAAAAACCAGCACAAGGGACATGGACTTACTATTAATCCAATGTGTCCCTGTGTCAGTGGTTTTCAATCAGAAAGAACCTGTCTGGGGGACACCGCAAAAGACGCAAGACAACCAAAAAATGTTCTCATACATACAGAGCAAGTTTTTGAACCTTATTGACGTTATAAGGTGGTATACATTAAGTTGGGCTGTTCTGCATATAATGTAGGCCAGAGAAATGAGCGCACTTTATTAGAATGTGTAATCAGCAAGGTGTTCAGTGCCTAAGTTTTCTGTTTAATACTTTTACTAACACAGTACAAAAATGTTTTATATTTCACTGACAAAAGGGTACAGGTTTTAAGAAAACAATCAAATGGTCAAATGTATTAAAAAAAATTAATTAGCTAATCCCGCTCAAAGTGTGTGTACACAAGACCATCTACTACATCCTCCAAGTGCTGCCAAGTAACAGCAAGCACGGGTGTGTACACAAGACCATCTACTACATCCTCCAAGTGCTGCCAAGTAACAGCAAGCACTGGTGTGTACACAAGACCATCTACTACATCCTCCAAGTGCTGCCAAGTAACAGCAAGCACTGGTGTGTAAACAATACCATCTACTACATCCTCCAAGTGCTGCCAAGTAACAGCAAGCACGGGTGTGTACACAATACCATCTACTACATCCCCAAGTGCTGCCAAGTAACAGCAAGCACGGGTGTGTACACAATACCATCTACTACATCCCCCAAGTGCTGCCAAGGTAACAGCAAGCACGGGTGTGTAAACAATACCATCTACTACATCCTCCAAGTGCTGCCAAGTAACAGCAAGCACTGGTGTGTACACAATACCATCTACTACATCCTCCAAGTGCTGCCAAGTAACAGCAAGCACTGGTGTGTACACAAGACCATCTAATACATCCTCCAAGTGCTGCCAAGTAACAGCAAGCACTGGTGTGTACACAAGACCATCTAATACATCCTCCAAGTGCTGCCAAGTAACAGCAAGCACAGGCGTGTACACAAGACCATCTACTACATCCCCCAAGTGCTGCCAAGTAACAGCAAGCACGGGTGTGTACACAAGACCATCTACTACATCCTCCAAGTGCTGCCAAGTAACAGCAAGCACTGGTGTGTACACAAGACCATCTAC